GTACTAATATTTCTATAAATAACAAACAAACTTCGAGTCTAGAATCACAATAGTATAGTAGCTATATAGAGTTTTTAACTTGTAGAACAGTATATATCATCAAAATCGACTTTGTAATTTTGAATTATTATGTTAAAGTTCAAGAAATGAGAGAAACATGTAAGTTGCTCTTTTTTTAAATTGCTGGCATTTAACCTATTTCTTGGATTTTTTGTAAAGCTTAGTAAATTATTCTTTGTTTCTGGATTTCTTTTTGGCAGTTCTTATCAGTAGAAGCGGCAAAGTATTCTGTTATCAGTAAATTACTATAAAGTACCAATACCTACAGGCATCGATATTTTATGTATTTTTCTAACACTACTTTGACATGACAGCTGATGACGTCACAGGCCAGTAAACAGAATCGTGATTGGTTGTGAAGACGACTAATTCTAGGATGTTTTCGTCGTTGAATAAATTCCTAAAAATATTGCATTTTCTTTACGTTATTTTACTAAATCTAAACATGATTTTTCTGCAGATGTTAAGAAATAAGCTTTATTAGATTATTATCTATCAGGATGACCACAAAATGCAACTCATTTTTGATAGTGTCAAATACCCTATTAAAACAGTAGGGTTGGCGACACAACACAACGTAGTCATGATACACATTTATAAACATTTATATAATGAAAAGTAAAGAAAAACAACAAAACTATAGTTTATTTTAATATTTTATTCATTTCCAATCTACAACTACATCACCTAAGAATGAAGCGCGATGATTGAAACGTTCTTGATGTCTGGCCCATTCCAAGAAATACAATACGCTCATGACGCGAGCACAAAAACCCAAAGTTCCCTTAAATACAAGAATAGTAATAATCAGATATGGCATTCTGACCATTACGCGTATGTTCACCGTACGTACACATCCTGCTTCTCACATGCCACGATTGTATGTAAAAGTAAAAGTTAACAGTAAAAGGTGTAACTATCATTTTATTGGCTTACCTTAGGATGTCGAAGTTCATAGACACCTGTTTGCTTCATGTGCTCACTGCAATAAGAGCAAGCGATTTTCAAATGATATGTGCCAACTGTGATTAAAATCAAATCTTTAAGTATTTCAACAAAAGCTACTGAGAGATAGTGAATGAACTAGACAAGACTAGCCTATGCGAACACAGACTATATAGAGATACATGAGAGAGAGAGTTTTGTGCAAGGAAAAACTATTGTTTTCTAGTAATGTCCCTTTTATTAATGTTATTCAAATTTTCACTGGGGTCAGTATTCAATCTAAACATTAAATACTGACCCCAGTTAAAATTAGAATAGCAATATCATACATATAGCCATCGATTTTGATGATATGCAGTATACCTTCTTTGCAATATTTACTTACTCATTTATAACTTTTAATATGTGTAACATTTCATTTGTGCCGGGCGTTTGAGTCAAGTTTGAGTATTGACCTTTCACAAGGAAAGTTAATATTAATTCTTGAAACAGATTAAGCGCCAAGGTTCAGGCCTAGGTATGAAAACAACTGACTCTACCTTATTATACTTATAAGTATAGATGTTCTTTCATGAATGGCACCACAAAAATAAGTGTGATTTTTGAAAATAGGACAGGCACAGTAACCTTATAGTGAGGTAAAACCAGGTCATAGAGAAAGTAATAAAAATTCGCTTTTATTGCAGTTTCTTTGCGAGTAAAATGAAGAGCCGCATTGTTTAGAGTGCCAAAACATGTATTTGTAATAAAGGCGTAAGTTCGTTCGTACATAGCATATGTTAAATGCAGGGTAATATTTTTTTCTTTTTATAAGCAAACAAGACATATAATTCGTTATAATATAATTCAGATTATAGAGAACTTACTCATGTTACCTATTACATAGGCTTCGATGATGGAGATTATCTCAGAAATTATTTACCTATCAGTTTAAAAAAGAGAGAACTGCTGCTCTCTCGTTGGGATTTTGTGTGCCTACCTAATATCTACTGTGGACTCTTAAAAGTTGAAGGCTCCGGACTTTCCTGTTACCCTCAGCCTCAGAATACCATGGTAACTAAGTTATTATTTAATATAATGTTCAGTATGCAATTTTATAACATGTTATATCATACTCTCCTTATACATAATAAGCATTTAGAAATGACAGTATTTGTTATTTTTTTTTCTTTAGCTGTGTGTTTTTGCTTTCACAAAAATAAGCTACATAGCACATTAAATCGTTCACTGCTGAGAAATGACTTGGGCATTTTAAATGTTCCAGACATTTCTCTATTCAGAAATCACTGTTCACTTCTATTCAGCTTCACCATCATCTATCAGGGCTTCTTTTTGTATTATTCTCATTGTTGATAAGATCTACATTGATTAGAGATTATATGGCATCATCAATTATATTGTCAATATTAGAAGAATATCCAGGAAAATCCTTCAGAAGCACAGTTTATTTTCTCCAATTGGACGTTATTTCTGAAGACCGCCTACTCGAGAAAACATTATAGTTTTTTTATGGCTCCTCTATCGAAAGTGAGTTCTTATATTTTTTTAGGAAAACCATAACCTTAAGGTATGGTAATCTTATATATTCAACCTTAAACATGTTAAAAAGGGTAGTTTTTAGATATGCAAAATTGCGTCACTCGATAAACTATCCTTTTTAACATATTTAAGATTGAATTTTGCGGATTGAAAACATCAAACAGAAGGAATTAAAGTTAAATTTGTATACTGCATAATATTACACATACGTGTATTCATAGTTTGAATTCTATAAACATTACAGTCACGTCCTTCTTACGAATAAAGTTCTGTGATGGTAATTTAGGTATTAGTCAAATTGCTTAAGTTAGCAGTGTCACAACGTCAATTATGCTTGTCTCAGCCTGGCGCACCGCGTTTATGCAATGCGGTGTCAGAGCGTTCCGATTAACCAAATAGTTGGATTCCCACGGGGTCGATGTTTATTGTGAGGCTATTAATCACTTTAAATTGAATTCAACGTTATTAGTCACATTAATCGCTTGTAATTTGTTGTTAATTAACTACGAATTTAGTATTATCTACCACCGATTTAATATAATATAATAATATATTATGATAACTCGATTTCTTAAGAAAAAATACTAAAATATCAATTGCACAGTTAGAGAAAAAAATACATGATAGAATCTCGATTCGAGAACCTTAAAGATGGAATTTTTATGTACGTATACCTATTTTTTCTGTAAGATAAATATTGAAATACCTGTGATTTATAGTTATATATTAAAGAATAACCAGATACAATGGACGCTGACATGAAGTTTACAACATTAAAACCCTGCCCTTAAAGTAAAATGGAGCTCAAATTAATTTGTTAATAAAGGTAGTCCAACAATTTAATAAAATAATTTTTGATACAGTGACAATTTCGTCGGATAATTTAAGAGAAGTTAAGGGTAATGTGTCACTCCTCTGTAAATTGCGTGTAATCGTTGTCAGCAGACGATCCTGTAAGAAGTGTTGTGCTTTGCTGGATAGAATTAAGTACTTACCATTATCGATTCTTTTCATTAACGCTTTAGAAAGTAAATCCAGTCTGGGCTTGTTGTGGTTAATGATAATCATTTTCTATAAGATTGTCACCATTAGGTAGATTTAAATCACAGCTGTGAAGCTATGCACGCTAGTCTGATAAGGATGCTAATTTCAGATGTATGCTTTAGAACTATAAAATTACTCTGTTGAGTAACTTTTAATGTGTAGATATGTTCTTCATACTAATAGCAATACTAGTAATTATATAATTAGGATCCTTTCCCGCTGAAATATTGTGAATAAATAATAAATGTCTCTTACGGTATAATCGCTTTTGCAGCTTATAGTACTTTCAGAATTTATGGATATTTTTGTGATTTATTCATAAGTAACATAAAACCAACACATTACAATGTCGTAACAATATTAATTAAATATGAAGCCTGGGTCGCAGTTGCTCGGTGGCGTAGTGGATAAGCGCCGCGGCCCGCGATCGTAGTCGTTAAGCAACTTTCGCAAGGGTCGGTCACGGGATGGGTGACCAAAAAATTATTATCTCGAGCTACTCCGTGCTTCGAAAGGCACGTTAAGCCGTTGGTCCCGGCTGCATTTGCAGTCGTTAATACCCTCCAATCCGCATTGGGCCAGCGTGGAGGGTCATGGCCCATCCTCCTTAACCATCCATAAGGAAGGCCTGAGCCCCTGCAGTGGGGACGTAAAAGGGCTGGTGATGATGATGATGATGAAGCCTGGGTCTGCAGTTTACTATATGCATAGTTTACTTTATGAAGTCTTACTACATGCATAGTTTATTTTATGAAGTCAGACGCAAGAAGTTTATATATATTTTTTATTTATTTAACAGTTAAGATATCTTTATATTTATTTTTACATTTAAAATTCTTGGTTAGACGTAATGATAATTTTGTACAATTTTGATTGTCAAACGCAGTTTACACTGTTTTAAGTAAATGAAACATTTTAAAGGAAACAATTTTTTATCGTAGAAGACTATACGATCGGGCTTTCACACCACTAGAGCTCTGTAAGCCATGAATATTCATAACACGATCGACGTGCCTTCTCTTTATTCACTGTAAACACGTGTACGTGTCCTTCCAAGTATGTCTTGTATTATGTTTAAATACTCAATCTATCTGTTTTACTTAACAAAATCAGTTCTTGAATAAATTATATTTGAGTAAATACACTCCATAGTTTTAAATGACATCAAACAAACGAACATAGTGATTTTTATTTAAGATTTAGCGTCTAGATTTATGCAAATAATAAACAAATACGTAAGTCATTTTAAAGAGATTTATCCAAAGATGTATAAAGAAAGATTTCTATATTATCTGCATGTGGGTTTAACCTAAACGATCTGATAAAGTTCACGGCAAGTCACTGGATGCGGGAAGTGCAGGGTGCAACGATCTATGAGGGAGGTCTATACTGGTCAGTGGGTTTTGTACGGCTGATGATGATAAGTCCTGCTATAAAGTTTTCTTTGCTGAGCAGGTACGCTTCTTCATATGCTGAGCATGCCGGGCTAGCCATTTATATTTTTGAGTATGATTACATGACCGAGGGAGTGGAGATTTTGTGGGAAATATCTCTGGTAACCATTCTCTGAAATTAATATTTATTAATCATGTAAATATAATTACTCTATTAGTCCTCTAAATCTTTTGATATTAACTGATGTATGACTAACATTATTGTATCATATTACCTCTTCCACCACTCGTTTACTATTAAGAAATACATTTGAAATAAGAAATTCAGTATTATTATTTCCTTTGACTGCGGCTACTATTTATTTATCAATTACTCGTCGCTAAACGAACGACGAAGAAGATTGTTTGAAACAACTAAATACATACTTTTACTTATAAATTTAATAATTCTTACTTCTCCGATGTTTTGTCAGGCAACACAATGTCATCATACAATTTATTGTGACCACTTGTACTAAAAGTGCTTTTACGCATACTGCTGCTTCGGGAAAATGACCTAGAAACAATGTTGCAACATCTTATTTATTATTTACAACAAAGTACGTGTACCTTTTTAAAGAACTTCAAAATCGAAAAGGGGGAGGGCAGGTGTATATTCGACGGGTATGTGTTTTTTATGTACATATGTTCATCGATTTTTCAGCGAATTCTGATTTTGTATCAAAGATATACTGAAAATATATATATAGTAATTATATTTGATAATTTTTTTATTCAGAATACTATAGTGATAAATTTATTCAATGTAAAATGCTTAAAAAACCTCTACGTTTCGCAATCCGGGCGACTGCTCTAACCATTGAGAAACCCTAGTGATATAGTGATATATATAAAAAATAAATATCACTAAAAATATTGTTTTTATTAAAAAAAAAATCGCCTGTTTCATTTTTGCGATTATCATTTAACAAGCTATTGCTACTATCTTTAATAATTATGAACTTCTGTACAAACTTTAATTCCTTATTTCCACCCTTTTATCAGAATAAAAAACCAACTTATCTCCTATCTCAAGTCAACTCTGTTGAATGGGTTAGGCGTGAGAACGTAACTAATACATATACAGACCTACTTTCGCATGTATAATATTAGTATAGAATAATTAAAGGATTCTCATTGCTACGCATTACATCAAATAATAAAACATCACCAGACAAATACTGAAATAAGAACAATATACACGATTGCTTGGTCGACTTTTAAACTCACAGCTGTTCAAATTGAAATTCAAAGTTTAAATTGTTAATATATAATGAATATGTCGTAGCCAACTGGATAAATGATCCGTAAATGAGGCGGCTAGCCCCATAATAGAACAGCATAAATTATTTGTACAACTAAACATAGCCCAGGGAACTTGACAGTTAAACGTGAAGGATCATTTCACAAGGTTTATTAATTTTATTTATTTTTTTTATTTTCACCATCATCCCTTTTAGGTGCCCATTGCAGGTGCAGGCCTTGCGATTCTGTACAAACCCAAACCCGAATTCGAATTTACTCAGATGTACGAATTGGTAATAACGTTTCCTGGCATAAGTGAAATGAGTTTCGAAATGACATAGGAAAAGAATATCTGATTTTAATACAAAAAATAGAATCAATAGAATTTCTACACTAAATGATGTAAATTTGGTTTTTACAGAATCTCAGGGCAGGCCTGCCTTATGGATGTTTAAGGAGGATCATCCATTATTCTCCACGCTGGCCAATTCTGATTGGTGGGTATTAACGACAGCAATGTAGCCGGGACCAATGGCTTAACGTGTCTTCCGAAACACGGAGTAGCTTGAGATAATGATAGTTTGGTCATCCATCCCGTGACCGATCCTTGACGCTGAATAGTGCCAAATCGGTAAAATTGATCTTGGATTGTACTAATTCACGGGAAACCTATGGCAATCCAAAAATTTGTGGTTATACTTGATCGTATTTCTGATCTTGTGGTTGAAACCGAAACATGATTGTATTAACTTCACTCGATAGAAAATAATTCCAAAGTAGCATCTAAAAATATTGCGAAAGGCTCTTTTCTCAATTATGTGATACATTAGAGTAATGATATTGAGTACAAATATGTATCAAAGGTTAATATAAAAGTTGGTTATTCCCAATTTTTGATAATGTTATTATAATAATTATTATAATTTATTTTGTGATATGGCACATATGGTCATTTTTTTCAAGCAACTTTAAAGTATTGACATTTCTGTCACTCCTACTGCAATTGACAGGGAAGGCTATAGAATAACGCACACTAACTTAGTTCACGCTGAGGCGTGTTGCTAGATGGACCTATGTTGCTTTGTGCAGCGTTCTGACGTACCGAGATCGCTAAAATTGTAAAAAAAAGAACATTTAAAATAAGTATTTGAATTTCGCCCTCATTTAAACAATATGTTTGGTGTAATGTACGAGGGAAGGGACCCGAGTGTCTCGAAGTTGTAAGTTCTAATCCCACCAGAGCTCGCATTTTTTCAAGTCGTTTTTTTATTATTTTATTCTAATTTTCATTTTTTTTCTGCCATAATTTTAGAAAGCAACTTTTTTTTATATTATTAAACAGTATAAAATGTGAAAATAAATATTTCTTTAGTATGACGTAGGCGAAAGTCAGACTGACATTTTCATACAAAACCCCGATATTGATGAAATAGTTCCAATAAAATACATGTTCGTGTTCCAATCCCATCAAAGAAGCATTTTTGTTTTACTTTTATCTTCTTTTTCCTAATATATTTTCCTCTCTCATTTTTTTATAGGTATATGTTATTCATTAATAATTCGTTAAAATAATTTTGAATATTATTTTATACAGTAATTAAGTATTATTTAATTATCTAGTCTAGTTGATAACTTTAATTGCTGTAAAAATATATAACATAAAATTTGACAATAGGTAAATATTTCCATAAAAGTATGTGTTTGCAAAAGTTTGACATTTTCATGCAAAAACCATCCCGTAGACCGTTACTCTAGTAAAAAATAATTCCTAATCAATCATATTGTGTAAATAAAATAGTTCAATAAATAGGTATTACTTTATAAAACAAATATAAAAAAGGGAATTAGTTACTATTGAATGAATTTGAAAATTATGGTAACAGTGTACTAAATAATAATGTACAGGTTTTTCACAAACTTTACTAGTGTTTGGTGTGGCGCAATGTCCTATGTGCTGGTCACTAGGTACTCATTGTGCCGCAGATCAAAACCAAGTTTCATTTTTTTTTTGTATCTTAATTTTTTTACCCAATATTTTTATTATGAGAAATATAATATTAAAAATTATTTATGTGTTTATACTTAAATATAAATTATTATATTTAATAATTGTATAGATATTATTTTTGAAATTTTCATGGAAAAACGACTGGATAAATTTCACGGTAATTTGATACAAAATACCTCTAGATATCCTTTATTGGTTTGCAAACTATTGCAGTACGCAACAGGCGTAGCCATACAATTACTGATAATGAAAAACGAAGATTTTTCTGTGAGGTAAATGTACAGTGTTCCGGACTAGTACACAATTTTAAACGATACTCAATAGACTATAGTTGTATTGCAACCAAAATAATACAATTTTAACCATACTTGGTAATTTCGATAGTGGATTGGGTAGTTTCAATAGTGAAACGTAAAGCACGAATTTGCAGAATCATTGAAATTTGCTTTGACATAATCATATCTAGGCTGATTTCGAGTAATAAAATCGCATAATTATCTTAACATATCAAAATTAAAGGTCCAGTCTTTTTGTTTATTCATCATTTGACTTAAAAACATAACCCACCATTACGTGACGACACTTTGTTTGAATATTTTCTGAATCTGACATCTGTGAGTAGTTGTAAAAAAATAAATAAACAGCAGCCGATTTGACAGAAAAAGCAGATTCCGAGATAATACTGTTCTTACCTTATTTAATATTATTATTTTGTCGAGATCGTTAGATAATACCGTTTTCGTTTGAATAACATCTTATTTTTTTTTTATATAGGATCAAACAGTTATGCAAATTTATATGAACATAAAATTGAAACATTAATAAACACATAGTTCCCTACATTACATTTGTTAAATTGGTTGATTGTTAAAAATAATTTAATCTGTTTGTACATTACTGTTATTTAATTATTATTATTGATATTTCAATCTGTACATAACAGAATATCGTCATGAATATGGCAGACGGTGTTTTTATGGGTGTAAAAAAGTGGAATTATGATTTAATTTTAAGAAAAGAAAACGTTTTTAATTTTTTGTTTTTGGAATATTTTTGTTGTCGATTATAAACACTTACAAGTACCAAGTAAGTACTTTTGCAATCAGAGTATAACACCCTATTATAAAAGCCGTGACAAGTTTTCGAACGTGACTGATACGATCGCACCGCTATTTCGTAAGACGTCGTTCTTTGACTTTCTTAAGATACTGGTAAATTTATTGAAATAAAATTTGTGAAGTCGTTTTAGCCATTAATTGTTATCAACAGAAGGTTTTATAATTAGGGAACTATATTTTTTTTAAAATCTACTTTCCGCATCACGGATGCAAACCTGTGGCGTATGGTTACCATAATAATTGAAAATCGCTCCAAAATGTTACTAAATTTTATTCCTGACTAAGGTTGGCATTAAAAAATTAGATGTGAATAATTCGGTAATCAGCATTTATTATTGTGACATAAGTGTGGTAAAAGTTTTACGGCAAATTTTACAATTCAGTCCAGACTCTGGGTCTGGGCAATCCCATTCTGAAAAGGGCAGGTTAGTGTAACTGGCCTATATGATAAAACTAGCTACGGTTCACTTCACATGGATGCATAAATTCAGTATCGGTATGAATATCGGAATCTTAGAACAAATTGTTGATGCCTGGGAGAATTCACACAACGTTTTAGGTGTTTTCTGTGACGTACTTAAAGCTGTCAATTATGGTGTTCATGAAATATATAACGAATCTTCATATTATGAATTTAGAGATAACTAGTTAGATTTTGCTGTCTCTTAGTTCAGTGGCTTTGTAGGAGGTTCATATCGGTGACAAGAAATCCCCTGAATCGATAGATCAACACCTATCATGGGTGTTTCACAGTGCTCAATGCTTCTTTTTTAATTTATATAGACAAATTGCCTCCTTTGGTAAAGGATAATCACGAAATAGATTTATTTACAGTGACAATTCCGTGAAGTATAACTTCACTCTTATTTAAAATTAAAAGAGGACGACCAGTTAATGACGGTGTGAATAGTTATATTCTCAAAGTAGTACATTGGTTTAATATCTTATGTGTTATTCACGTGAATTTTAAGCCTTTCATCACTCATAATCTTGCTCCATGACTATCGCTTCATTTGCAGATTGAATGGATTCTATGTAAGCACTATGGTAGGTATCATCTGCATAAAGAAAGCAGCTTTAAACTGGCGATCCCAACGAAATTCATAAATTTTATTCTATAGAGGCAACTATTCAAATAATGTGTTGCTCAATAAATATCTTGAACAACCTTAAATAAGATGAAAGGTTGGGTTATAGTAAGTTTTTGTTATTGTTTCATTTGGTCGTATAACTTTTTACTGAGGTTATGTTAGGCCAAAATACTTGTAAAGATTCATTACACCGTTATATTATTTGCCACTAGCTGGTGCCCGCATCTTCGTTCGTGTTGTCTCATACCAAAGATTTTGTAAGCTTAAATTGTATGTTGTGGATTGAGTAGGTTATAACTTAATGAACCTGTAAAGGTAGAATTATTTTTGTACCAAAATTCTACAGTCTGCTGACGGTGCCAACGGTATATATGATTAACAATAATATTTAAGATGAAATTTATAAACTTTATTGGTGTTTTTTTTTTTATTCGGGTGCCAAAATATAAAGCCCAGAGATGTTGCTAACCCTTAAAACAACAAGGCAAAGTTGGGCATTTCCACACCAGCAGCTTTTATTCTCTCAACAGCATATCGAAGTCGATCAGAATTCCGTGGTTTACTGCGCTGTTCTTATATCTTTGCGTACTTCAGAAATTGTTTCTATCTCATTTTCTGGTAGATCTAAAGATTTTGGGCAATGTATGATGATGGTCAGTTTTTCACTGGCTTAACTGGATTCTAGAGACCGAAGATTCTATCCGTTTTTATTCTTAGAAAATTTGATCATGTGTCCCTATATCGTTAAAATTCAAAATGGACGTCCATCCGGAAGCGAAGAAGTATGCGTGCTTTAACTACGTTATCCTCTCTGCTGAAATCTCCAAACACTCTTTCTTATCTTAACAGTACTTATGTACCTTTCACACCAAAACTCTTTGTTCCTCCTCTAATCGTCTACTCTGCCCATCTCATTTCTCCGAAATCGTTCACTCTTCGTTCTTCGTCAAATCTATTCCTTTGTGGGATGAATTTCCATTCTACTTGTGTCTACAAGAATTATCAATAAATAATAAATTAGCTTCTAAAAACAAGTTATTCTATAGCAAATGTTTCTATTTATCTGTTTATTCTTAATTAATTACTTTATGATTTATGTATTTTTATAGTAATTATTATGTATGTATACACATACATAATTACTATAAAATTAGGAAATGATGTTGCCGTCTTATTATGTACAAAGTTAATTTTAATATATTTAAAACTAAATCCAAATTATCTAATCAGAGCTTTTTGACACATTGCATTGTCTGTTTCTAGAGTAGACGAAAAAACGGACAATAAACCTTAGTATTTACATGATCGTTGAAAGACAACGATACGTATCGCTAACCATAGATCTTTCCCTTTCCCGCGTTTTGTTGTACGCAACAAGGTCACGAACTTGCCCTGTACAACAATAGAGAGAACCCCGTGTCCACATCATCCTAAGGTTTATTGGTAGAAAATGGCCATGGCATTAAGTACGCCAATGTGTATTTGTGCAAAAAATGTAAATAAATAAAAAAACTATTTATTGTTAAGAAGTATTTTTATCCGATGTTATAGTATAACTAGTATCTTTGAGGACCACATTATATGTTCTGGATCTTTGACTTTTGTACTCTTAGCAGAATATATTGATCAGGCACAAAATTTTTCTTAAGGTGTCGCTGGTTGTGCATCAAACGTTTAAGTTTCCAAAATTAATTATACCCCATATATTGCCCAGGTATTAACAAAATAATATTCAGTAGTCCCGAAAATTAACGTGTACATACAGATAAACTCACCGAGCTACTCTAATTTTTAATTTTATTAATAATATCCACGATATTCGAATAAAATTACTTTGATGTCCAATTTCGTAGACATTACAATAAAAAGCTGTATATATTAATTAATAAAGGTACAGCAATAGTTATATATGTAATTAACCGACTAATATCCAACGTCTTACAGTACTTTATCTCTGAAAACTATTAAAACTGAAAACTAAAAACTAAAGCTGTTTATACGACTTGAAATACAGATGGAAAGAAAAACACAAATCTAATGTCCACACAAAATGGTTGCTATGGTAACGTTTGATTCCCCATTAAAACTTTCGCTCCCGTTTTTATCCCTTTAAGTGCTAGTTTTCAGGATAAAATACAAGCTATTACCTTCATAGAGACTTAATCAACCCAAATACCGATTTCATCGATATAAGTCCAATAACAAAAAGTTTCACTCTTTTTGACCCTCTTTGGGGTGGAATTTCCAAATATCCGTTCTTAGTACATCTCCACGTAATAAGAGAAATGTCCCCTCCTAATTTCAAGTCTCTACGTCCAGCGATTTAGTATATGTATATTTAACATACTTCCCACAGACTTCAATAGCAGTTTCTTGAGTAATTGAATCGCTTTTAAAATGAAGACTATTTTTATTTTTTTTAAGATTGAAGTCGGTTCTAGTTTTGTATTAGGAAATAATATTGCCTTTTTGTTCGACTTGTTCAAGAGCACTATCGTATACATAAATTTCTTTTGTTGAGTAACATATCGCCAATTTTTTATGAGTAACATAAATAATGTTATGAAATTTAAATTCGTGAATCATTTGTAAAGTCAATATTTGTAACTATCCCAATTGATTGACAAATACTATTTTTTAATATGACTGTCTATAATGGACCTTATACTAAGATAAACTCAGTTATAAAACACCTTGCGCTAACAGAAGAAGATGCGGTTGAAGCAACCCCTTTGATCTCCATCAAAATAGTGTCAAAACGGCACCGGCGTAGTCCTATTATTCCCAACGACAGTCCCGTTTCTTCGAATGTTGTTTCACTTGCTGTTAATATTTGTTCTAAATATAACTGACGAGATGTCAATCTGCGATATAAGATCATAAAGATTAGCTAATTTAAAAGCGACAATATATTAACGCTTATTATAACATCTTAGAAACTTCGATTTATATACATTTTCTACAATAAATAATTTATACAACAAATTGTTGATCGAATATTCTCGAGTCATGCCGGTACTTAATTTTCTCTTGTTAAAAAATATGAATTATTAGATCTAATACCTTTATACGAGCAGTTCTTAGAAACATATATATAAGCATTGAAAATATATACTATTAGGTTGGAGAAAAACTCTTTTCGCATGTAGTATGCATAAACTTGTAATAAAATCTTTCTGACTATACAATTTGTATTGAGCTGGTTTCGGTAAAATTAAAAAGGTTAAATTTTAAAGAAGATAACTCCATATTCAAATTAGGAAAACGTGTGATTTCCATTTGTTTTTCTTACTGTCAAAATGGGTGAATCTAGTGAAGAAATTCAAAATATAATTTTATTACAAAAAGGTAAAAATACAATGCAAGCCGCCAAAAACATTTGTGACTTTATGGACCTAGTACAATTTCTGTGAGAGTAGCACAAAAGTTTAAGCGTTTTCAGTCCGAAAATTTTGATGTCAAAGATGCACGTCACTCCGGTCGCCCTGTTACGGATAAAATGGATGCCATTTTTAAAAAGTGGAGCAAGATATGCATATCAGTAGTTACGACGCAGCTGAAGAACTGGGTATTGACCACAAAACAGTTTTGGTGCATTTGAAAAAAACTGGGTACACAAAAAGTTGGATATTTGGGTACCTAACGAGCTTACTGAAAGAAACCTAAAGAACCGTGTACTCTTTTGTGATTCTTTATTACGGCGTAATGAAACAGAACCATTTTTGAAGAAGATGATAAGTGGATCATGTACGACAAGATCGAGTGAAAAAAGTCGTGTTCAAAGGTCGGTCAGGCTTGACAGACTGTGGCAAAACCCGTGCTAACTAGAAACATGGTGATGCTGTGAGGATGGTGGGATTGGAAGGGCGTTATTTATTATGAGCTGTTACCGTCACGCAGGACCATCGATTCTAAACTCTACTGCGGACAACTGATGAGATTAAAGCAAGAAGTTGAGAGAAAGCGACTAGTATTTATCTATAGAAGGTGTGTAGTTTTTCATCATGATAATTAGACCTTTCAATCTTTTGCTATTCAGCAAAAAATAATAGTTTGGCTGAGAGGTGTGAATGCATCCGCCGTATAGTCAGATTTCGCTCTGGTACTAGTATTGTAATGTACATATCACGCTTAGCCTAAGTTTATCGAATAAATGTTCAATTATATTAAATTCAAATAAATAATATGAGCTTAACTGTTTACCGATCAAATTTAATATATCCCAAGCCGATGAGTCGGAAATCAATGGGACGATGACAAGCGATTTCGTGATATAATGGAGATTGCGCGTGCAGTTTCTTCTTGTGTTGAACACAGTGACCGTGCAACACTAGTTTTTCTTTTGTTGTCATTTTCAATATGAAGTCAGTATCCTGCCTGTGGTCTACGATATTAAAGCAGTGTGACTTAAATATTCGATGAACTTCCAATTCTGTAATTCAAAGAGCAAAGATGCATTGATTTTTATCGCAGCTGCTTAATAGTTAAAATGATATCTACCTATCTGGCTAAACGATTTTCTTCCTAACGTTATCCATATAATTTGTATACATATAGTAATAATTGATTCAAAATCGAATGCTTCCTTCTTTGATAAAGATTTTGATTTTCTGTCAGGTCCCATGTGGTGAAACGAGTTGTATTCGTCACTCCCTGAAATTAAATAATTTACTTAGGTATATCGAAATCTTTTATTCAATCTATTACTTTATGTTACCTAGTAAAAAAGCGCAATATTCATTAGCAAGTAACAAACGTATGTCTTCTAAATCGTCACGGAATTCCATTTCAATGTCATCGCTTTTATTAGTTCTAATTTTACTTTCTGATTCAATTAATCGATAACTCATCACATCTGATATCTACAATTATAAAAATACACTTTATTATTTATTTATGTAGGTACCGTATTTTATAAGATTTTGAACCAACTTCAAAATCGAAAAGGAGGGGGTTATATGTTCGACGGCGATGTTTTTTTTATGTATGAATTAAAGACCGATATTTTCGTCAATTGTTGTTCTTGTTTGATTTTCAAAATTCTTTTTTTAATTGACAGCTTGATGGATCGAGGCGGCCCCATTTAAATTTTATCGAAATCGAATAAGTAGTTTTCCTTTTATAACAAAACAAAGTATGCTTTCTAAAAGATATCATCTAAATATTAAGGTGATATGGTCCATTTCAACTAAAAAACATAAGATTGTGTATTTAGAATTCATTCAAAATTTGAAAGGATAATTTTCTATGTTCAACTAGTATGTGAACTTCACTCTTTAAGGTATATTTTTATGAAAGTCATATATAGGTATCTATTAGTAAAGTATATACAGGTAGGTATGTTCATCGATTTCTTGAAATGTAAACCAATCTATCATACTAGCTGTTACCCCGCGACTTCGCCTGCGCACATTATAGCCTATGTCCGCCGCGTATTACGTAGTTTCCCGTAGATGAAAGACTAATAAATCGATTCAATTTTATAAATCGAGCAATCAAATCTTTCCTCTTTCAATTATGAATATAGATTATGGGAAAAAGTTATGTCGACCAAATTATATATTTATATTTAATATTTTTAGTGTTACCTATTTTATAAAAAAAATATCAATATCACTAAAAAGCATGAAATAAAAACTGTTTATAAAAGGTAGAGCTAATTTCAAACTTTAAATAAACGATAAATCATATTTATTTTAAAAGCGACTTATTCCAGAAAATGCTATTGAATTCGGGAGGAGGTTTTTGTATGTTATCAAATAGATGATAGGCGCCCGACTTCAATAGCATTTACTTGAATTAGTCGCTTTTGACATAAGTATTATTTATTACTATTGTAAAGTTTGAAGTCTCACTTTTTATATAAAGTTTTTTTAAGCAAGAGTCCAGTTTACAATGTGCATAAAATTAAATACGGCATTGAGTAAGTGTATGTATAAATGTTTATATAGTTAATAAACAGTTTTTCATTTTGTTTTATTTAATTCTATTTTTCGAGAAGTTATGTCAATTTTGTATAAGTTTACCTGGAGGAAGTATTGGCAGTATAGTATCAGGGCTCTAATAAATCTTTCAGTAGCTCTTAGATGAAGTATATTTATGATGGTTACATTTAAAATGTCCGCAGGCGCCGTATACAGTACGAGATCTTTAATATCCTAAGGAGATCAAACATAGTGAAATAAGATTCATTTAAATTTAATTTCATACGTAATAGATATCTAAATACGCACCTGGAGCAATATAACATCGTCTTCACCTTTACTTTTTCTTTGATAACGTTTTCTAAATCTTTGCTGTAACAAATGAAGAACTCATCTATTTTATGAAATTTATATAAAATAAGCTGTTGTTCCGCGACTTTGTATGCTTAATTTATAACTTAAATCACACATGATGTAGCTTCCAGTAAGTGAAAGAAATTTTAAAATCTGTCTAGTAGTTTCCAAACCAAATCAATACACAACAAAAAAATAACAAACCGGAAAGGTTTATAATAAATTAATATTCGTATCGACATAGCCGTCCAAGAGCGGGTCTGGTTCGGCACAAATATTAAAATAAATAAACCATCATGCATTGGAAACTATTGCTAGAAAATTATTTATTTCAGATTCTCACAATAACATTTTTCATATAATAATTTGCAAAGCGTTTTTTAATTTTCTAATATACCATTGTTCAATTCAACTGATCCAGAACTTTCGGAGAAATTCGATTATGAAAGACGGACAAGCAGATAGATAACCGACAAATCCTATGGGTCCCAATATCTTTTTTTGATACGGTGCCCTTATAAGTAAGAAAACGTATATATTTACTTGTTCCAGTATGTCTAAATCGTCGTTAAATTTCACCGCTCCATGCTTGAACACTGCAAGAGCGAGGCTTTCAAAATCTTCAGCTTGCGGAGTCTGATGGCTTTAAAAATAAGTTAAAACTATGTAACTAGTGTTTAAAAAATGATATTGAAAATAACTTATATTATAGCTTTGAATATTGTGTATCCACTAGTTTTATTTATTTATTAAAATTATTTATTAAATACATTGTAGGAGACACTAAAAATGTCATGTTCATTTTTAGTAAATTTTGTAGAGTTACTCAATACAAATGAGCAGAATATTCATACCTATCGTATTATTTATATTAGGAACTCTTAGTCAAGTGGCTCACATGCCAATTTTAAGGTGTTAATATCTCCGAGATCCCTGGTTTTATTCCTGGTCGAGTCAATATTGGAAATAGGCATTTCCATAATTTCTCGAGTGTGGAAGTTATAGTGCCTTCGTTGTTTTATGTTTATTTTATCTCTAGCAAAGGTATATACAGCGGCACGTCAGATTACCACAATATGTGAAATTTTCGCATATGATACTGAACTCTATAATCTGTATAATATGAATTTGGACCAATACTTAAATTGCAATTTTAGCGTAAATAACGCTTAACTTTATTTAGTAATAGCACTAAGCAAGTACTTATTGTATAATTAAAGGTATTAAGATTAAAAATTAAGAGTACGAATTTCAGTTTTATATAACCAAATATAGTGTTAACTGTGTTGTAATCAGTTTGAAACCAAAATATGTATTCATTAATTAAATAATAGAAAAATTAAACAGAGATAATAATAATATAATATTATAGGATTTAATAATATAGGATTTAAGCTATGACTGTATTTTTCTACCAAGTAATAATTGTTTAATGCAGAAGCTTTTTTACAGACTCTGAATAGAGAAGTATAAATAGTTAAATAAGAAAAATGCCTTATAAATATGAGCTTATTTTCAATATCACTCCACTCCCAGTGACCATCGTTATAGGGCGTTTGGTAATCATCGTCGTCATCGTCCTGTGCATTAAACATTATTCTCACAATAATAAAAATATAATAACATGTAAAATAATAATATAAAAATAAAACAATTCACAAAAACATGGTAAAAAACGAAGTGAAAACAGAGTAAAACATAGATTAAAGTAATATCTATGATTATTACATAGATCAAAGCGTCATGTCAGTGGATCTCTATTCTCTATGGGACAAATAGTTCCCTAACTGGGTAACTATTCTAGGAAAAACTATCAAAGAGAAACTAATAGATTTATAAAAGATTCTTAATCTTGTAAGTAGTTAGATCATAGACAGTCATGTATTTGTGTTTTAATCAGAAAAATAAATATTGTGTCATAATTTTTGACATCGTATTGGTACTGAGATGACCTATCTGCCCTTTTTTATTGTAATATCATTGCGTGCAACCATGTGGATTATTTTGGATGGTAATTTATAATTATTCTTCTACGTCGTTTCACTCTTGACAAGGTGGTCGTGGTCGTCAATTAGGAACAGTTGCAAGTTCTTTTATACGCCGCCATTCTTATCGGACCGCAGCCTTCCTGGTACTCTCATGGGTAGAGTAGTTTGTTGCCGCCTTCATTTGGTCAGTCCATCTCATCGGGTCTTTGGTATCTTCAACTTTTCCCTGTATTATCAGACGCACCAAGGAGTCATTGTTGTGTCGTGATACATGGCCAAAGAAAGTTAGAATGCGTGATTGCACTATAGAAGACAGGCACCGTCTGATGCCGAGTTCATTCAGTATAGATGCGTTGGTACGGAACTCGGTCCACGACACCCCGAGCATCCTTCTCCATATCTCTAGTGACTTTATTGTCTTCTTTTCTATTTTATGCAGAGTCCACGTTTCGATACGTACTAGAATATGGGAAGTATTAAAGAGTATACTAGCCTGATCTTAGTGGCTTTGGTGATGTGCTTGTTTCCCACCAATTAATAGCACCAGGTGTTTTGGTATTCCCAAGGCAAAGTTCTCCACAATAATGGCCACTTCATCGAATTAAATCGAGGAAAATATATGTGGCTTTCTAACTATTGTATGCATGTGCGAGTAAAGTCATAACCAACTGGGTCCAGTGCTGGTCGGTGGATATTGATGACTTAACGCGCCATCCAAAGTGTGAAGGGATCTTAATTATAATATTTTCAAGAATATTCTACAAGAATCTCTCAAAAATTATCTTATGAATATATGCAGGAATGATTGTTAACAAGCAGAGGAATATTTGTAAATTGCTAATTTTATCGCCTTATAATGAAAATTATAAGTACGTATTATTATTAAACTGTCTTAGTTAAACCCAAAGTTCTTTGGTTTTGTAATTGTACCACCTGAATTGATAGCCAAATTCTTCTTTGTTACAGAATAACTTTGTGTTAATTTATAGATTCGATCAAAGTAATTTTAGTACGGTTTACACACTTAAATAAATTTCAATCGGTAGCTTTGTGTCTTCCTGTATATGGAAAGGGGTGAATAGGAAAAGCTTAATCGGTTGAGGCAATGTTCACTATGATACATAGTTTAATAAGCATATTTATCTTAAATACTCGTATGCTGTGATTTCGGTTGAATGCTTGTCCTTT